AAAAAAAAAGAAAGAAAGGTAGGCAGTTTACCTAGCTGTTTAATGTCAGTGAGTGGCTTTCAGTTGTTCTCCCTTGCCAATGTTACCGGGATCGCTTCAGGATATTTGTAGGACTCTTGCTCCATCTGCGGAAGAAATGAGCCTACCCAAATCTTTTTCTCTTGGCAGTTTGGGAATCATTAGTTGCCTATATTGTGTAGCCTTCTCATGTTCAATTGAGAATAAAATAATTTATAGTTTCCTCTGAGTCCTAGAGTCCCTAAACAGTCATCTTCTTTCCACCTTTCAGAGTTCTCTATTGAGGCCTCTTTTATTATTTCCAGGGTTTATACTTCTATAAAATCTTAACTGAAATTCTAGGTCTAATTTTATTTGTCCCTAAACCTGTCTATCATATGGTAACTATTTTTTCTTTCTAAAAGTCTTTTCAGTTCTTTTTAAATTTGCATCAACACATACTTGGACACTTGTTAAAATTCAGATGTATAAATTCTATGAAGACCAACTAGATTAGTTTTTTCAGAAATCAGAATTTCATTAATGTTCTGTTATGTTGACATAAAAATCACAGCAGTGGCAGCAGAGAGTCAGAGAACACATAAAATGCTAAACATCAGTTACTTATCACCTCCAAAGATTGAATTTCACTAAAATGTTAACTTATTTAATATTGATTTATATTTTTTACATCAATCATGATTCAACTGTGTGATCAAATTAACCAAGGTAATTAAATGTAGAAACATATATTTCATTATCTTTACATTTTTTAAAAGCTGAAAAAACTGCACACAGATTCCTACGTGTGTTGATTCCTACATATAATACAGGATTACTTTTGTAGTATACATAAATATTGTGATCTCAACATATGCCCTTAGAGTCTTATCAAGTTCAGTCTTATCAAGGTTATTTTGGCCAGCCTTATATAAATCGTGACAATTTTCTCAGTAGCATTTCTACAAAGAACATGAGAGGAAACCCATTTGTTGCTTTAAATGAAAGGTTACTTACTGCTCTTTTTCTAGAACACCCTGTAATCCAAGGCACAGTAAGGTTTCCTGAAATCTGTGAAAACAACAAATTGAATCTCAGTAAGATAAACATTTACAGTACTTGGAATGTTGACTAACACCAAAGAATACATTTATGATGTCAAGACACTTCTTAATTCAGAGCATATTCCCCAGATAATGTTTCTTTATTGAAGTCAGCATGTTTAAATAACTTTCTTTTGTGAAAAAATTTAGAAGTGGTATAATATTCCACTGGAAATTTAAGAAAGTTGCTAGAGTACTGTGGGGCTCTAGAATTGCTGAGGATCTATTGTCAAAAATCATGGAAAATATAATTAACAAAAATAAAATGTTCCATGAAATGAGTAAAAATGTTGCAAGAACTACTCAATAAACACTTTTTAAATAAGACATCACAACGAAGCAAGACAGGACTTCATTATGAAAGGTCTATGATATAAGTTATTTATATATATTACTGATGTTTTGGAAAATCAGCATTGACTAATGTAACTATTAGTACATGTGCTTTCTTATTACAAACCTTAAGCTTACAGTGCAAGTGACTGAAACATTGTTTCTCCAAACTGTGGCCTCATTACAAGCCTATTCACATGCCCTATACTCTTTCATACTAAATGGTAAAATGCACATTTTAATAGATTACTAACTTATGATTGATTTTTTGTATAAATAATATATGATTGCAAAAGGAATAAAAGAAATTTTTATGTATTATCTTTATAGCAAATATTTGTATGTAACAATTTGTGTCCAATAAAATGTGTTCTTTGTGAGTTACATTCTAGGGCTTATTAAGTTTTGGTAGTGAAGTTTTGCAATGTTGCAACCTTGAGCAGATATTTCTTTCATATTCCATGAGTATTTCATATTTGAGCAAATAATTTCTAATAAATTCCCAGAAATATTTAAAAACTTTTTACTTTTACAAATGAAGCAGTTTTATATCTAAGGGTATATCTATTTCAATACTCACTAATCTGTGTACTCATATCTAGAATTGAAACAATGACTCTACAAAATCTTATTTATCAGTATGATTGTCCTTTTTAAAGTAAAATCTACTGGGAAGGGTACCAAGAGATGGAGAAGAGGGTAGTTCTAGGAATGAAAAAGAGTGAAAATAGAATTAAAATGCATTATGTACACATACCAACTCCCAATAAGAAACATAATCATTATGTACTGCAAACATGTATTAATAAAAAAGCAAAGTATAAAAGTAAAACCTACTAAGAAAAATGGCTAACAATATCTTATTATATCAAAAGTACTATGCAAGGAAACAGATGCTATTATAGCAGAATTCTGTGGAGGTTTACAAAGGTGATCCTTTAAACTGTGGCTCAAGATAGCCTGGGCTTAATAATGCTTTGTCAAAGGACACAGAAGGATTGTGTACTACTTCATACTCTTCAATTGCCCTCTTGTTCTACCCCAAACACATTTCTCCTTAGAGGCTGACAAATCAAATCAGGCTTGATAGGTAGTGGTGGTGGTAATGTAGTGTTCAATCAAATATTTAATATTTATGGTGCCTTGTATTCAGTGATGGCCTATATAGTATAGGAATATCTACAGACAAGAAGTGATTATCATATAGTCAATTTAGAGAGTAAAGTAATATCCTCAATTATTTAAACTTCAGGTAAAGTATTACTGTCTCTGGCCAATAGACCTATCAGTTTTCCTTTGAGATCCAAATATACCAATATGCAAAGAATATGCTAAAAATGACATAAAACCAAATAATAGTTTTAAGGATAAGTCCAAAAAATTTTACTTAGGGTAGAATCCCATTACAGTAAAATGTCAATTAACTGAATGTGAGGATGTCATGACAAAGTACAACTGATTTTTTTAAGCGATCATAAAAGGATTTTGTTTGAAAAAAATCTTCAAACTGTGTACTTTTTTTCTTCCCACCAATATATACTAGGGTTTTCAAGGTCAGTTCATTATTAGCTTCAAAAAGGAAAAGAAACCTGCTAAAATAATCACATAATATACTCTAGGAAAAATAAAGATATACAATTGTTTTGCATTATCTCAGCACACATTCCCAACTATTAATGAAGATATTTCAAAGCTGAGCACATAGAACCTCTAGAGAATACACATTAAACTAAATGAAGTGCAAACAAAACAGAACCTCAAATCAGTAACAATTAAAAAGTTAAATGATATTCTCTACATTCAACTCGTCACTACTGTTTACTTCAAATCTATTCCTCAGTTCCTTACACTTCTAGTAAAACTGAAGAACAGCTGGGCAGAAAAAGTTGAATTTGTAAACTGTTTTAAGTCATAGCACAGGTAAATGTTTCCTCAAATTTGAGTAGAGTTTTTTTGGTGCAATATTGATGACAAGTTTCTCATTCACTAGAAGTTATAAAATACCATACCTAAATGAGGAAGACAATAAATGTCTCATTTAAATGATATTTCAATTCTGAACATACTTTCAATGGCCTGATTTGAAAAACTACAAAATAAATCTACAACGAGACAAATCTGACTTAACAAATACATTAGAACTTGTATATCCAAATGAGTGTTGTATGTTTCAAAGTAGAAAAATTAAGGATATTGTAAACTTACAACAATAATATTGCCACTGTTGAAAGCATTTTGGGAACTTTGGGAATTGTCAGTTCATACCTCACACACAGATTCTATCTCATTAATTTTCCCTCCAATGGTGTTGATTTGTCACCACTAAAATCATTTAAAAGAATCTCAGTCTCTTAAAGCAATTAGAGAATACGAAAAACTTTCTTATAAATTGAATGTTATTAAGCATATACAACTTTCAAAGTAACTAATTTACATTATGTTAGAATGTTTATCAGGTGTATCTTCTATAGCAGGTGTCATTTTATGAGGTATAGATTATAAAAGGATAAGTAAAAGGCCGGGGATTTAGCTCAGTGGTGCCGCCACCTGCCTCGCAAGTGCAAGGTCCCGAGTTCGATCCCCGGTACAAAAAATAAATAAAAATAAAAAATAAGATAAGTAAAATATCATTTCCTGAGGGGCAAGAACTATAATTGAGATCAAAAGATAGACAGGTATATGCATGACATGAGTACAAAGAAAACTGTGATGTCAGAATAGAGATACAATAAATGAAGTGTCATGGAGTTCAAAATATGGTAAAATTACACCCACTTGCAGATTGATAGATATCTCAACTGACCTTGAAACATAGTATGGAGGACAGGGTGAGGAGGACCCCACCGGGCAGGCCCACCAGCTGACGGCTGGGCCGAACAGAGCCAGCGGGGCCGAGTAGGGTCAAGCGGTTGCAGGCTGAGTGGGACCTGCTTGCTCCAGCTTGCTCCACCAGCTTTCCACCAGCCACCAGGACAGGGTGAGGAGGACTCCCCCC